CCTTCTCTTAAAGTAATATAGAGGAGGTTTCTTCTTTCTGTTAAAGGATTTATGCCTGTATTATGAAAATGATTCCTTATTTTTTTGCAAGAACAGTGGTGATAGTCCTTGCATTTAATCTTCATAGCTTTTTACAGGCTGATTGTAACTTTGTTTTTCCTTTAAGCATGGACTTAAAAAACTCATATGGTTCATAAAGCTTATTTAAGGTACTCCTATGGTTTATAAAGCTTATTTAAGGTACTCATATGGTTCATAAAGCTTATTTAAGGTAGATAGGGTTAACTAATAGACTTCTTCAAGAGAGATTCGTGACATATCTTTCCATAAGTCATTTATAGCTCTATGTAACTCCGGTTGTAATTTTTCTAGTAAATTAAAGAAGTATTGAATGTATGTTTATGTTTAACATCATTAGGATCATTCAACATTTAGTATTTAGAAAAAATCCATTGGTAATGCTTTTATAAATATTTTCTATCTAGTAAACAACACTTCATTTTAAAGAACTCATGTCAGTTTCTTTTATTAATAAGATTAAGGTCTCCAAGGAATTCTTTGTGTATCCCTCTAAAGAAATGATACTACATTAAGAAGTTGTGTCGCTTGGTTCTTCTGGTATTCATTAAGGTTTTAAAATCATTCTCTCAAGTTTCCAACCATTCTTAAGAGGAATTTTAGGAGTATTTCTCATTGTGTCACATCTGGTCTTGTCATCTGTAGATCAATCCGCATAGAAAAATAATGAATTCTATCCCTCCATTTATATGGAAGTAGATCATCAAAAGTGAACCATGGTCTAGAAGATGGTCAAGAATTATGTGTTTGGCATAGTCAAATTGTCTTTAATGATTTCTGGGTCATCTTTAGGGTCTTTAATAATTGGTTCTAAATGAGGTTGAACCATCACAATCTTGGTTATATTAGCTAGATGCTAGTCATCCTTAGAGTTGGTACTTTCAAATGAGAATTCAATTGAAACAACTGAATGTCGATACTTTTATATGAGAATTCAATTGAAACAACTGAATCAAAATCTTCATCAATATAGACATGATCAAAAATAACCTTTGTGATGGAAGAAATTATTTTTTAGGGATCTATTCATTATATGCCTTTAGCTTTTCAGGTGTTTGTTTAGGTAGCAAAGGAGGGTATCTTGATTATCAAAGGCTTTTCAAGTGTTTTGGTAAAGGAAGGTGACTCTTGATAATCTTAAGGTCTAGTATGGGCAGGATTTTAGGAAAATTATGGTTGTTCTGGATGAAGGAGGCAAAGATGGTTTTTGGGCTAGTTTTTTTTTATCCTATCTGAGAAGTAGGTAAGACATTTTAAATGCCTTAGTGTAATTACTTTCTACTAGGTAAGTAGGATGCAAAGAAGTATATGAAGGAAATTGTCTTGTCATGGTAAGATCAATGGACTAGGATAAGATTCATAAATGGTTATGGATTGGTCTTTGGATAGATCTGCTTCGATCTGTTGTAATTGCTTCCATATCTTTGAAATTTATTTTTCTTTCTTGTAGAAATTTAGCCCACAATATCTCTCATCGATATATCTCTTGAGATCTACATCCAATTATTGTTCTTGCCTGTAAAGTTTAGCATACATGCTTTTTACTTGTTCTTTTATCTAGCTTATTTAAGAGGATAGGGCATTTATTCTAATTGTAAGATGGTTAAGCTTGGAATCAATTTTGTGAAGAACTTTATTTTGATCGATAGCATTTTGAGATTGCCAATTAAGAACTTCTTCTGCAAAAGAAACAAGCTTAAAAGTCCCCTTAGGGACTACTTCTATTACTACAATAAAAGGTCTACTGGTGACCTTAGATCTTTCATCAATCCTGTGTTCTAAAGGAGGAAACTCCTCTTCATATGGCCTTATCATAACTATGTAAGGCAAAGCTTAGGTTTGAGCATGTGAGAATGTTAGAAATACAGGTTCAAGTTTCTCTAAAAGAAGGAGGTCTTTATAGCCTAATTCTTTAAGAAGCTCAAAGAGAGTGCTCCTATCAGTAGGAGGATTTAAAAATCCTACCCATTTTCTTCTAGTTTGTTTAGGGCCATAATAACCGTCGTCATCATCCTTAAGAAGATGCTTATATTTGTAGGGAGATCTAAGCTGCTTGGCCTTCTTAGAAATTCTTTTGAAATCATACCAGTCCTCATCACCATCAAAATCATTCCAAAGATAATAATCATAATTATGATCACACATTTCTGGGGCATAATGCCAGATGACTATTAATGTGAGAGACATAGACTGGCTTGGCCTCTTTTATGAACCATTCAATAAGAGGTTCTTTCTTGTGTTGAATATATGTTGGTGCAATTGTTAGGATTCTGCCAAATATTTGAGTTAGGTCTTGAGATCTAAGCCTCTTGAAGATTAATTTAATAGTCCCATCTCTCAATCTATATAGAAGAGGAAATTTCGTAGTGTGAACATCTTTTTAGTTACCATGGAACTCCTTTTCATAGTTATTGATCCATTTCAATGGCATCAACTAGGTAAGTTCCTCTCGTGGCAAGTGTCTCGGGATTTGGATGATTGAAGATTCACCAGGTCTATCAGCAACTATATATAAGACATCCCCTAATTAAGTTAAGGAAGTTAAAATCAAGTGAATGATCTTGAAGTCTGTCAATGATCTGGAGGTGGAGGATAGCCACGATGGTGGAGGGTTCTTATTCTGCTCTAATTATTTGGATTTGATCATTTAGTCTAGTGGAGAGAATGGAATCTATAAGTTTGATATTCAATTCAAGAGCTATAGTGAGAATCACACTCCCTTAGTTGAGGGCAGTCAATAGAGTACCAATCAAGGCATTACTGTAGGACTTGTAAGTGGTGTCCAACAAGGCTATCTTGGCTGTAGCAAGAATGCCTTTTCTTTCATAGAGGGTTAAGATTAAGCATATCACTCCAACATGGAGGTGTGTATACCGTTGGCTAATCTAGGTATTTATTAAAGGTTAGGCAATTTATAGGGTAACATATTGTTCTACAATAGTGGCTAGGAGACCACACTAGTCAAGCTTAGAAGTCTGGACAACTTCTTTTGGTAAAGGTTATTAGGTAGAAATCAGGGATCTAATTCCTCAAGTGAAAGAGTTGGTCCTATCGTACAACTTGTAGGGATTGAGGAAAGGAAGATATGTGTTTTGAATGCAGGCATTTTCTAGTAAGGTAGAAAATTTTATAAGGTTTTCTATTTTGTTAGAAGAGTTCTTTTTATAAAAGATGGAAGACGATCAAAAGATAAGGCTGAAAAAGGACAAATAGGTTTAGAAGAAACAATTGAGCTTTTTGGTGTTTCACTCATATTTTTTGGGTTCTCCTTACCTTATATTATGGTTTAGAGGGAGCGAGGAAGTATATAAAGCTAATGTTATAAGTTTTTGGATTTAAATCCTTTGTTTTCTATCCTTAAGGCAAAATTTATGTACTTAGTCTTATATATACTTATTGTATTACTTTTATATACACATATACAAAATAATTAGGGCCCATTGGCCAAAAAAATGTTGTGCCAAGAAAATATGAACCAAATATTTGAAAATTTGGGAGTAGGGGTAGTTCATATTGATATATAAAAAATTTATCATTAATACGCAAGGAGTTTATTATTGAAAAATTATAAGAGATTTATCATTGATATAAAACGATATATCATTGAAAAATATAATAAACTAATCATAATATAAAATATAATAAATATTAGATTATTTACTTGGCTTGATTTTATAACAAGGGCTATATCTGCAAAAGCTCTTAATAAATAATAAAAAAAATACTTAACAAAGTATATTTAATTAACACAAATAATATTTAATTAAATTATATAATTTATTTAACTGATGAATCTAAAATAATATTATAATCAGTTATATAATTAATTTTAAAAAATAATTTTAAAAAAATTACAAATACGCAATAACAATTGAGAATTAATATAAAACTGTGCATGGACGAGTGCACAAACACGTGACTATACAAAAATGATTGTAGTGTGTGAGCGTGCGTGTGGTGTTGCGTGTGCGTGTGTTGTGCGCGTGCGCGTGCGTGTAAAAGCATGCATTTGCATTTTTTTCCCGGCTGTCTTAGCAGTTTTATTAAGACAGTCACGCAGTTGTCGAAAGCATTAACTTTTTTAGCATTATTCATGCTAGCCATTTGTGTTGGTAGAAAAAAAAAAAAAACTGCTAGCCATTTAGAATTTTTCTAGAAAAAATGGTTCTTAATAAAGAAATATCATAACTTTTTATAAGCAATCGCATTTCATACACATTTGATACGTATATTCAATACGATTAATAAGCAATCGTATTTCATTGTCTGTTCTGGCACAGTTGTATAAGTTTTTCTTCTTAGTTGTTTTGAAACATGTCAAAACGTGTACTTGCAGGACATTCTAGAATGTTTCAAAACAATTGTAAACAGTACAAATTCGTAGATTAAAAAGTGTCATCCCAAATTTGGAATATCTCAAGGAGATTCTAACTTGCGTTTAAGGGTAAGGTATCAAAATATTATTGAATATTATTGTTCTATGTGTAAAAAAAAATTTGGTGCAATCTTTATTTATTTCAAAAGGTTTTTGTGCAATAATATTCGATATTCAATAATTATTTAAGATTTGGAATTGCATTGGATACATAGATACTTTAAGGACCTGCTATTCCACATATGTGGCCATTTCATGGGTATTTTTCTGAGCTGGGGAAGGCTTTAACTAATTATTGATTATTAATTAATTAATTGATAAAGCATGACATTCTACTACTAGTGCCTTGTTTTGTTACTTTTATATCGATGTATTGAGTGCTGACAATTTTTTCTCGATTATTATTATTATTATTATTATTATTTTATTTATTCCATAATTTTAAATCTTTGTGTGCAATTCGCATGCAACCTTCATGCGTATCTTGAAGCTCTATATAAAGCTGCAAGTCTCTGGAGATTGTTTATCAGTGTGTGTTATTCTTCATTACCTGAGAGATCCGAACCTGAAGAAAGAATCAAGCATTACTCTCTGATTCATTTTGAGGACCTTGGATCTTCTCATCATGGCAGACAACAACAACAAAGACAGTAGTACAGTGCAAGAGCTCAAAAGCAACAACAAATACTTCAATTTGCCTCTCCTTGTTTTCTTCGAAGATGCAAGGTACGTGTGCGTGTGTGTGTGTTATAGACAATATCATATTGTCCACTGGTTTGATCTGAAACTGTGGTCTTCTCTTAAACTGAAGCAAAACTCATCATCAGTTAATGTGACCTAGCTACGTACAGTATTGTCTGAACCTAGCTGGTTCGAACAATCCAACCCGTCGAGAACCAGCCTATGGTCCGGTCAAGCTGTATAATCGGGGGGAAATGAACCGGTCAAGAACCAATCAAAACCGGTGGAAAACCAGTCAAAACCGGTTTTCACTTTTATTAATAAAAAATCTCAATAACTCAAAATGATGTTATTTTGTCTTTTCATTTATCTTGTGGTTAGATTTTCTTTAGTTATATGATCATTCATTGGTGATTTTAGCCATTAATAATGGAAGCTTGTTTTAATTTAGTTAGACAAAATAATGCGGCATATGCCTGATGATTTTGATTATTTGTAATGGACAATAAGTAGTTTTATTATAATATAGCTTCAATGCCCAAGTCCAGTTCTGACAACAATGCCTACATACATATCACACTGCATTCTATTGTATTATGATCAGTAAATGAATCATTTTTTTTTCATGTATTACACATATAGATTTATTAGAATTAACAGGCTGCACTATTGATAAATTAATACCCAATTGCAACTTTTGCTGCATATTGTATCTCATATATAGATGATATTGATATTGATACTAATATTGTGGTGAGAGTATAGGAAAGTGTTCAATTTGGATTCCATTGGTAGGGAATTACTGGGAATGGCAATTCCTGCTGCTATGGCTGTGGCTGCAGATCCCATTGCTTCTCTCATCGACACTGCTTTCATAGGCCACATAGGTAATTAAAACCTTAAAACACATCTTACATATTCAAATGATGATGTTCTATGTTCAAATTAAACCTAAAGTTGTGTTCTTGTTTTGTTGGTGATGATGGTGATTAAATATATAGGAGCTGTGGAACTTGCTGCTGCTGGAGTATCCATAACACTGTTCAACCAAGCTTCAAGGATCACCATTTTCCCTCTGGTCAGTGTCACTACATCGTTTGTAGCAGAAGAAGACACTCTCAAGAAAATTACAGACATTGAAAAAGCTTTACCCAACAAAGACAACAACGATGAGAGTGACAGTGTGGAGAAGAATAGTGGTGATAAGAGTAAGACTCTATAGTACCCCATTTCAAAATATATTCATTTAATTATATCTGTTTAGTGAAGTGGTAAGATTAAATAGACTTTTTAATTATTATCAGATATCGTCAGCACAAACACGGCCAAGTCATGTTCTTCCTTGGATGCAATTAGTAGCAGTAAGAATAACAAGAGCAAGAAGAAGAAGAAACAAATAGCTTCAGCATCAACAGCTTTAATATTTGGAACAATTCTTGGACTCATCCAAGCATCACTCCTTGTTTTTGCTGCCAAACCTCTTTTACTTCTCATGGGTGCCAAACATGTAAGTGTGCTATTTTAACTCATTGTATGTATGTATGTATGTTTAATTGTCCTAGCTCAAACCAAATACATCAAATCAATATTAATTAAATAAAAATACTCAAAACTAAATGACACTTGGCTCCATCTTAAGCTCATGTTCTGCCATGGTCACGCATCTTTGTGATTAGCCAAGTTTTTCAAACTTCCATGGCCTATTGCAACTTGCATTTGGGCTTGAAAATATATATTAACATCATGGAACCAACAAAGGTTAATCCAACTGATAAAGATTTAGCTCATAAATTATAAAATTGTAGGTTCAAACCCCATGACCAATGTGATTTGTAAGTATTTCTGTAAATGTTCTTTGAATCTAGAGATATGCCTTGGCCAATAAATTCCCAAGACTTAACTCACTCCAATTGTAGCAGATAATAACCCAAATGTTTTCTCCATCTTCTTGAATCTCCCACTCTTTCCTGGATTTCTAGTCATTTACCCTTTGATACCACACATAGATATTGAGCCTACTTGGACTCCTATGACATCGACATAGCTTTGCTAATTGTACGTAGATGCCACCTATAATATGGTTGCCATGTATGATGCCAACTGGCTGCTATACAAAACTTGGATGCCATGTTAGACTTTATATAGGACGTCATCTGTGTTCACAGACATCATATATATGGAAAATTAAAGTAATATAATGATTTGTATTTAATTAGGATTCTGATATGCTGATTCTCGCCCAAAAGTTCTTGAAACTGAGAGCACTGGGTTCTCCTGCTGTTCTTCTAGCTTTGTCTATGCAAGGAATCTTCCGAGGCTTCAAGGACACCACGACTCCCTTATATGTTATTGGTATATTCACTTTTTTTAATTAATTAATTATATGCTTAATTATCTTCTGTATTATTCATAATATAGTTGAGCTAAGCCTATATAAACTGATAATTAATTGGGTTCATGTGTTGATTTTTTTTATTAATATTTTTAGTTAGCGGGTATTCACTAAATGTGGTATTGGACCCAATACTTATATTTTACTGCAAGTTAGGCCTCCAAGGTGCAGCCATGGCTCATGTCTTCTCACAGTGAGTCTTATTAATTAATCACTCTTTATAATTAATTATTTCTAATATTATTTGTATTATGTATCTAAAGAATAACTAATTTCTCCACTAATTAATTATAATTTGATTATTTATATATATTGGTGAATCTTCTTCTTTCAGGTACCTGATGGCACTTGCTCTCTTGGTGTTGTTAATGAGAAAAGTTAATCTCTCACCTCCTAGTATCAAGGACTTGCAGATTTTTCGTTTCCTTAAAAATGGTGAGAACCTTACATGAATTTCTTTGTCCTTATTAATTATACATATAAACATATAATTAAGAAGATTTTGAACTCCACACATTACATGTATCTTACCCCACCTGCAATGCAAGGCTAAGGTAACTAAAAATGTCATAGTATTGAAAATCATACCAACATGGTCGGCTGTTCTTAACCTATTTAATTTGACTATTGTTTGGCTACGATTTGATCATTAATCCTTGAAATAGTGTTTTGATTGGTTTGATTTTCAGCATCTTGCAAAAGATGTGGAATTTTTTTATTATCGTGCATAAAATGTAATAATAATTAGATTGAATGAATTTATATGTGCAGGAGGGTTGTTGATGGCAAGAGTAGTGGCAGTAACTTTTGTGGTGACATTTGCAGCATCATTAGCAACAAGGTTGGGTCCAATTACTATGGCTGCTCACCAAACTTGTCAACAAGTTTGGATCACTTCTTCACTTATTTCTGATGGTTTAGCTGTTGCTATTCAGGTAAAAATCAACCTCAATTCAATCAATACATCTTACATGTCTATAACTTTAACCCTTCGTTTAAATAAGGAAAAATAATATAGATAGGATCAGAGAATACTAGAACAAAAAAATTTAAAAATAATAAAAAGATTTGATTATTTTTTAAAGTTTTTGCTCGTAATATTCCCTTTTCCCTATATTTTCTTCTTATCCAAACAAAGAAGTGTTTTGAAACAAAATTAGAAATATTTAGTGATATCCGATAACTTTTGGTGGGTGACAGGCGATTTTGGCATGTTCATTTGCTGAGAAAAACTATGCAAAGGCCAAAGCATCAGCTGTAAGGATACTTCAGGTAGGTCATTAATGAATTATCTCGCAACTGAATTAATTTATTTGTTACAAATTTGTTTTTGAGAGTTCTAAAAGCTCTTTTAAAAAAAACTAAAAAAATATATTTAGTTATTTTTTTATATCTATATTTAGTTATTAATTATGGTTGAATAATAATATATGCAGATGACTTTTGTGATGGGAGTAGGACTCTCTCTCATTGTGGGCCTTGGATTGGGCTTTGGAGCTGGCATCTTCTCCAAAACCCCAAGTGTTCTCCACCTCATCAAAATAGGTTTCCCTGTATGTATTTTTCATTTGTTCATGTATAATGTTTTTTTCCAAATTATTAAAAAAAGAATAACATAAGAATGACAGTTAAATCTCGAGGAAGATTATTAATAATAATTGAATCCCTGATAATATCTTTAGAAAATAAATTGCAAATATCTCTTGAAATAATTTCAAATTCATTGAGTTATAATTGCAAATAAGACATTTGAATTTTAAATATGACTTCTAATTTTACTACTACAAAAAAAGTTGGAAAAATTAATCTTTTAGTCTTTCAATTTTTAAGTCGCTTATAACTCAGTCCCTCAACTATGACTCGCTATGACTCAATCCTTCAATTATAACTCGCCTATGACTCAATCTCTCAACTTTTAAATCACTTACAAATTAGTCTCTTAACTTTTGTTAAATTCTTTTTTCATGTTATCTTATATCTCACATTAATGAATAAGAAGAGGGTATTTTAAAATAATATATGAGCATTTTTTTATCCCTTTTATTTGATAAAAAAATTTAAAAAATTAAAAAATAAGGACCGAGTTATAGGTAAATCAAAAGTTGAGGGACTAAATTGTAGCAAGTTATAGTTGAGGGACTAAATTGTAGCGAGTTATAGTTGAGGGACTGAGTTACAAGTAAGTTAAAAGTTGAAGGACTAAAAGATTAATTTTTTCAAAAAAATTTATGGAAGCAAGCATGCTTCCCCTACTGGAGTGCTTCAAATCAAGAGTTCCGGTTTGCCGCTATATGCTCCTTGTTTGCAACCCTTGGAATACTTCATCAATTCTTTTTTTTTTTTTTAAGACTTTAGTATCATTCTCTTATATATTAAATTTTTTAGAAAGATTTTTAAATTGTTTAATTTAGTACTTTACATTAGCATAAAGATGCTGCTCCTAATTCCTATTGTAGCTGCATCAGCACAAAAAACCAAGTCCTCATTTGATATGTGATACAACCAACTAATTTGAATTTAAGTCGGATCAAGATTTCAACCGCTAAAAATTCATCCACAATATTTGAACCCGAAACAATATTTAAGAAGCATATTTGAAGAACCACTTAACAACTTAAAGTTCTCAGTTCATTGGTTGTGTGTGTGTGTGTGTGGGAAATGAACGATCATTTTTTGTGAACTAAATGTTGAGTGATGAACTGAATGGAACAGTTTGTAGCAGCAACACAGCCAATCAATGCATTATCCTTTGTATTTGACGGAGTCAACTATGGAGCTTCTGATTTTACATATGCTGCCGTCTCCTTGGCAAGTTTACTCTAAATATTAATTATATATATATATATATGAAATTATAATTTGTTTTAAATGTTAGTATACACACATATATATGTTTGATGTTGTGATGATTTGTGAACATGATGATGCTGTTCAGGTATTGGTCTCAATTGTGAGCGTTGGAATCGAATTTGTGCTGTATAAAACCAAAGGGTTCATTGGGATATGGATTGCTTTGACTATATATATGGCTCTTCGCATGCTTGCTGGAATTTGGAGGTATGTTCTTGAGAAAAAGATAACCATTGATCTCTATATTTCTATATTTTTAATTAAATTTTACTTTTAATCTCTATATTTTTTTTTCAATGTTTTCATAGAGACTAAAAACAATGAAATTAAAGGAACCTGAATAATAAATGTCACTCAAACTTGCTGAAATTATAAAAACTAAAACACTAGAATAACAATTACAAGAAATAAAAACAAAATATAATAAAACTAGGGACAATTATATTAAAGTCCCATATAAGGGAATTAATTACTGTAAGGTTCATTGATAACTGAATTAAATTGCATTGACAACTGATTGTATTGTCAATACAGTTTAGTTCAATTGTCAATAAACCTTACAGTAATTAATTCTCTTATGTGGGACCTAACTGTAATTCTCCTAGAAAACTATAAGGACTGATAATTGTATTTTATCTACATTTTTTTTTCTTATCTTTTATTTTACCCCTTGTTTTCGGCTCTTCACCCTTTGAAACCAAAATTTTGAAGACCGAATAGCCAGAGCTATAACTACCTCTTCGACAAAAATCATTAAAATCACAACTCCCCTCTTCTTGAATTAAATAAGGGATCATTAGAATCTCTATCTTCTCTTTGTCGAACTTATCAAACAAAATAGGGGTTATCTCATCCTCTATATTCATATATACTTTATCTAGTCCTATTAAATATTGATAAGAGAAAAAAGAAAGATTTTTTGTTATTTTATTAAATTTATTATGAGTTATTAAAATATGCATATTTAATAGAGAGAAAATTAAAAATTATTAAATTTTTTGACCACTAATGAGTTTTAAAAATTTTTTAAATTCTATTAAAACATATGGGAAGGAAGTGAGTTATAAAAAAGAGAGAAGAAAATAATATGGATAATTTAACAAGTATATCAGGAAAGGTTATTGTAATTTATTTATGTTTGGAGAAGTCAAGTTTTAAGATATGGACAAACATGCCTTGAAAATTGAAGAAAGGATCATCATGATGTCAATAAAACTAAGGTAATTTCTTCACAATATTCTGTCTGTTAATTTTTGAGGAAAGTTGGTATACAGATTTTGGAAATTGAAAAGAAAGTGAAATGTATAGAGTAAATTTTGAAGAAACAAAAATATGTCTATGTAATTTAAAAAAATATTGAGAGAGAGAGAGAGAGAGAGAGAGAGACATCTGCATACTCCAAAGACATTCATATATGTCTTCATTAGCCCAAATTGAAAGAGCTCATGCATATAATTTAATTTTAAGTTAAAAAAGTAATTTTTTTTGGTTTTGTTTTAATACTTGTGAACTTGTTTGTTTTCTTTTTGAAATTGTAAACTTCAACAACAATATTTGTGCAGTTTAATAAAAATGTTTTAATTTGTTTCAATAATATTGCAGGATGGGAACAGGAACAGGACCTTGGCGTTTTCTTAGAGGTTGATTGCCTTATCAATATATCATCATTATACAAAATAAAGCCGGAACAAAGTCATACAATTGACATTATATTCCTCAGATTCTATACAATATGTAGAAAATGTGTCTGATTGATTATACATTATATGTCACTAGAGATAGTAGGAGATCAGCAGAGACCACAACTTTTGAGTTTTTAAATTTTTCTTAGTATTATATAAATATTATATGCTTCCGGTTCTTTTAAAATTTATAAAAATTTTATAATATATATGTTTTTTTTTTTAGAATCGGCTTTCTTATAGCTAAATCCTGGCCCAGCCGGTTTGTCAAATTTTGTGTTTCTTTTCTTTTCTCAAGATATATAGTCTCATCACATCTTGTGATGATCTATCTTAATGTCAGATTGTGGAATGTAACGTTGCATACACTTCACTGTAATAATTTTTAGCATTTTAGAGGATATTCTCATTCCTCATATATTTTATATCTGTAAGAAATAACATTTCTTTATAAAATAACGAGTTTAATTAGTTGATATACATGCTATTTGTAAGAATTCTCTAGGAAGATTACATGACATTAGAACATCAAAATTCATACTCATCAGATAAAGGCACAATTACTTGGCCCAGCAATCTTTGAATCTCCGAATTGTAGAACTAGGATCATTTAAAATCATATTAATACCAAATGAATGTGGCATAGATGATATCGGTCTGGGTTCCTTAAGCATCATTCAAGGTTCAATTTTGAGAGTGTGTATAGAAAAATATTATTTGGGAGGAACAACCCTTAAATGGTGTTCAAATTTTTTAAAAGATTAATCTCATAGCTGTCAGTTGTGAAAGATACCCTAGATACCCACTCAACCAAAAAAAAAAATCCATATCATTATATTCCACCTTTTTTGTTAAATTATATTTCACCATGTAAAGGACCATTGAGGCCAGAAAGAAATAAATATCACTAAAAAATTCAGATTGGACCACCAAGCTCGAAACCCTAGTACGTAAAATTGAAACAATTTACACTGTACAGGTTTGATGGGCCTATTTCTTTCTAATTTTTTTCTTACACACATAGCATTAAATGTGAGCCTACTTCTCTTCTTTCTAAATTAAAACAATTTACACTGTTCAGGTTTGATAAGCTCATTTCTCTTAATTTAAAAGTAATCTTATTTAAAACATGATTAGATATTAAATATGAGCACTCTCTTAACAAGTTTTTTAAACTTTATATAATTGTATTTACAGACATGAATTACGGGTAAGTCAAAAAAAAATTAATCGTGTAAAAAAATCATTGTTTTATCCCCAAAAAAAAACCTCATGAACAATTTTATATCAGTAGAAATTTTAAAAGAAACCAATTGAACATTTATTTTAGTAGAAAAGATTATGATAACTTAAGTAAGTATGGAATCTTGGGTTTAAATTCGTGTGAATACAAGAAATACTTTTGGGACTCAATGCTCAAATCTTACATAATCAAATACCCACGTCGAGAAAAATATATATATATCATGTTTTGATTTTTTTATTTTTTTGGGCGATTGTTTAAAACAGCTGTTCGTTTCTTCTTTTTTAAAGTAAAAAAAGGAGCACATTGAAATTCCAGCAAGAGTCCAACTTATTTGATTATTTCAAAGGCCAAAAGGAAAATTATCAACAAGGATATGAACAAAGTAGTGGTTGTACGATTTGGATAAGATTATTATGACAATAATGCATACAACCTCAAAAGTGAAGAAAAAACATTGCAATGATAGATAGGGCCAAATTCTCAATTTCAAACAAAAGGACCATATGTCCCCCACTAGGCCTTCAAATTCAAAAGCCCAATCTTTTATACTCTAAAAATGAATAAAAGTATATGGTAATTGAAAAAAAATTAAGAATAAAACATGATTCATGATTGTGAAGATGACATAAAAAACTCTCACTTCAACATTGTTGTCATATTGTGTCACTCCTGGTTTTATGAATACATCAATATAAAGAAATCAAGCAAGTTAAGGTCAAACCTGTCATTGTCACGAGAGGAAACACATTCTCCAAGACACAAAATCCAATAAGGCTCCCCACCAAATTCAAAGTAAATTTAGGATATTCAAAAAGGAGAAGACGACAGTTATCTACCCAAAAATTCAATGTAATTGCCATAAGTTAAAAGTTAGAAATCTATGATTCTCAATTGTATAATATTGGGATTGGGCTAAAATTTAAATGCTTGATTTGCAACCAAAATTTTGATTTAATTATTATTCACAACATTTGAGAAAACATCTGAAAACTAAATATCATGCTCGGACGGGGGATATAGTTGCAATAATATTTTAGCAGATAGTTGACACTTCATTTAAATACACAAACCAAGGAATAAAGATCTCATTCAGCAAAACAAGGGTTCTGAACCAGTAAAACCTTTAAATAATCAACATTCAACAAGCATATTTTTTTTTTAATTCGGTTCTGAACAGATAAGTTGAACTGATGATGCGCCAAACAAAGACGGGAAAAAGAAATTACTTTGAATTTATATAACCAGTAAAATTCAATTTATACAACGTCAAAAGACATAATAATATCCTCAGTTCTCATTGTGACTAAATATCTGCCAGCAATAAATATTCAATGGTACAGATCACCGACTCCTTCAGAAGAAACTCCAACTTTCTACATGCAAATAGAAAATTACAGCTAGGCAAACATCGAGAAGGATTAACATGAAAACAAATACAGCCGTTTGGTTCTCTTGCAGCATAAACCATCCAGCTTTGTTTGAAATGGGGTAGAGGTAAAGATTAACAAACGTGAAGATCCTGAAAGCCTGAAACGGCGGATTTTGGTGCAATAACACCTAATCTCGACAGAATGTTCCCTTCTATTGAAATATCAGCAAGGCGAGAGGCTTATTCCCCTCTATTTTAAGCTCTTTAAGTAAAGTAATAAATGATAAAAATTTTGAAATGAAAAGAAATAGAATATTCTTCAACAAGTTTGCAACCAATCTCTGCTTCAGCACCACTCACTCTTACTAGTTCCCTTCTTGCAACTCACCACCAAAAAACAATTCGCCAAATGAATATAATACCTCACTGGATTTAATTACCTATCTTAATAGAATGTAAAGGGTCAGATTGACTAGACAGCAAGCTGGTCCAGCTGCATTTGCTCAAGCCAAGCTCCTACCACAGAATTATCAATGGATTCAACTTGAGATATCGAATTTAGTTTTTCCGCAGATGCCATGGGACCAGAAGCTGCCAACTTCTCTTTCATCATATCAGGTGGGGATTCCTTTACAAGGGACTGAACCCAAGATAAATCAGGTTCTTCCCCATTGTTCCCATGGTCAAATGAAGACAACTTTCGCATTCGACTCAATTCATCTCCATTCATTGACCAATCAACTTTCCCAGTAGGAGATCCCCAATTAGACCATGAGTTTCCAGGAGAACCAACAACTGAAGTAGGAATTTTGGAACCAAGATCCCTTGAGCTAAGACTTCGCAGCTGCTGCTGCTGCTGCTTCTCACGCTGAGCAAATGGCGATAAGCGAGAGCCCATAGGAGATATTGGATCCACACTTCTGGGTGACATCCTTCCAGGAGAAGACACACCAAATGGAGCCTGCAACAGAGGATGCTCAGCATTCTTAGGAGACAAAACATTTGTATTTATGGGTGATAGCATGCTTTGAAGCTGCTGAAACTGATTGAGAACAGCAGATTTGTGTGTGGGAGAAAAAACAGAACCCGCTGCAGGATCAGAATACCGCGGAGATGAAGAAATTTCATTAGAAAATAGCTCTTCAAGATTAGATGGAGTTAGTGTCTTGGACCGACCAGATCGGTTCAAAGCAACAGCACCAGGACGAGGCTGTGAGAAACAGCCCAGATCATTCAAGAGGTGTTGATGGCCATCAAATTCTGGCAACATGTTCAAGTCTTGTGGTGGAATGTCACGAGCACTAAGAGAAGATCTCAAACGGCTAGATTGAAGATTACTTCCTGGGAGATGAAGGGCTGGCACATTGGGCTGTGGCCAGGCTGCATTTGAGTGTGAGATGCCATTACCAGATGGAGACATCGGCTGGGTAAAGTGAGATGGAGACATAGAAGACACTGATGAAAGAGAACCAGGCAACATGTTCATTGCAGCAGCCATATCCATGACATTGGGAACAGAGGCAGATGCCCGTGGAGAAGGGACTGCAGATCCAGTGGACACATAAAGTGGACGCAGCTCTTCTGCTGTATGAGCAAAGAAACACACCCTTCTATTACAATTTGCGCCATCTTTGCAGAGCCGAGTACGATACTGAGCAGGGTGCAGCCAGCATTCAAATACTCCATGTGCAGATTCACACATGTCCCCTCGCCTACAAGCCCCCTTCTGAAAATCAGGGCATGGTACACAGCTGTAATGGAATTTCCTGGGGTCTCTCCTACGAGCATTCTCTCCCGGATGAACAAAGGACACTCAGTCCAATCATGAGAGTATGCCCGGGAGCAAGGACGAACCTTGAATGAGAACATGCGAAACTCATCCGTTGCATAAATGCTGTTTTTAATGTCTGGAAGTGATGGATCAATTGGATACTCCTTCTTCTCTGAGGTAGAGCTAACAGGGGTATCAGTGAGCTTTGAGGCCACTGGTGAAGGTGGTGAGCCTGAAGGAGAGGATGGCAATCCATTCTCAGGAGAAAACAAATGGGCAGGCAAACCAGGGCTTGACGAATTAACAGGTACTGGAATAGAGCAGTCACCAGCGGAGTCATCAGATGAACTATCAGAAAGAAGTTCCTCCAGTATCACTTTCATGACTTGCAGCTTTGGGTGAACAACAATAACATCAACAGGACGATTACCACTAGCATCCTTGCAACTAAAATCAGCACCAGCTGCTAAAAGAAGCTTCACAACATCAACAGCATGATTAGATCCGCCTGAAGCAGCACAGTGAAGAGCAGTACTCTTGTTTACCCCACAGCTGAAATTAACATTGACCTCCGGATAAGAGATTATAAGTTTAAGAACATCAACACTACCATAGGTTGCAGCAACCATTAACGGAGTTCTATTATCAAGAATAATTTGTTTTGACCCAATTTGACGACAATACCAAAGCCCAACTTCATTTATTGAAGAAACATCCCTATCTAGGAGTAGCTTAAAACCTTCAACATCATTGTTAGCAGCAAGTTCCAGTAAGCTGGAAAAAGAATCTTCTGTATGAACTGTT